GTGCACACGTTCGAGAATGTCACTTTGGACTGGGAAATACAGGTCCAGCCGGATACCTTCCCGCCGAAGTTCTCCTTATATGTTGCGTTGACCTTCACGTGTGCCACTCTTCCCATCGCTGTGAGTCCACATTTGACGATCGGCCAGTGGAGTGTTAATGGACGTGTCTGGAAGTCGTGGTTGGATAGGTTGCTGAACGAGTACAGCTTTTTTTCGGAGTACTACGACGTACAGCTCAGTGCCTACGGTGCTACGAACTTCAGAGTGTTTCAACGAAGGCTGCGAGAGCACATATGCTCTCTGCAGGAGCGATTGGACAACTCTAGTCGCCTGGTTCCCATGCCGCGTTGCGACACAATTCATGTGACGTGGAATACGCTCGTCTGGGAGGATGACAAGTCGGCCAACAAGGATGACGACGCGGCGGTGCCAGTCGCTCATAGCGACGACACAGCCTTGGTTTCTTCGTGCAGCTGCCAGTGACAGGCACAGTCGCAGCCACAGCAGCAGCAGCAACAACACAGCTACATGAACAACACAGCCACATCAACAACACAGCAACAACATACACAGCCTGAACAGCTTCACGAGGAACTGGCTGGCGCACCTAGTCGTAGTCGTAGAGGCTTCCCCCGCTCCGGATCGGACGACGGAGGGGTGAGGTTTCCAGAGAAGGCAGCGGAGCACAGCATCAGCTGTGTCACATAGTGTCACATCCGAGGGGTGAGTTTCTTCGTGGGGCGACGGGGTGTGCCTCAGGGGTCCTTAGCTATGGGGTGGCAGTACTACGTATCCTAGGCATAGGCCGGGCTATAGTTACACTAGACGGGTGAGAGGCACACTCTGTCCATGCCGTCGCGGTTCGTTTGCTGGAAACATCGGCTGTGCGTGGTTTGGTTGCCCCTCCCTGGTTCGTAGCTTCCCCTCCTTCATTGATAGGCTTTCAGGGGGTCCAGGGTACCCGAACCCCATTCGGCCCCAGTGTAGGAGTGCCTGTCAAGCTCCCCGCATGAAGCCTCCCCAGTTTGGTTTCCGTGGGCAAACCCGAAACCTGGAACCCCAAAGCCGAAACCCTGAACCCTACAACCCCAAACACAAAACCCCGGAACCCCGACCCCACCCGATACCTCGGACCCTGAAGCCCGCAACACACACCCGATTGCAGGTCGTCTCCTCTTTTTTGGAACCGATGGCCTGGACCTTGGACTTCTTTGTTGGCCTCCGTGCTGTGGTTCTGTTGAACCGTGATTGTGGCCAAGTANNATGAGATGTTCCCGTTGGTAGCTCCACGGTTGCTTACACGGTGGTTCTATGTCTCATTCTTACCTGTTGCAGGTGTTGACTTGTCCGCAATGAACTAGGTGTACTAATGCTCCCAATTAATTTGATGATCTCAGTGGTCACCGTGATCGGTTTTCTGCATGTTCGACGTCAGCAGAAGGATTCGAAAAGGCAGAGGGGTAAGTCAAGTAAGTTGGTAGCAGTGTCACTGAGCGCGACTTCGCTGACAGAGACACTAGACAAATGCCTTCAGAAAGACCAGTATTCCCCGGCCCAGCTGCGGAAGGTTTGGCCTGGTCTCCTTCAACGACTTTGTTGACATTCAGAAGGCCCAGCAATCCAAGAGCCCGGTTTGAAGATGGGGATCGTAGAAAGAACATTCACATTATTTCTACAGCACAATACCTCAAACATGTACCTACCACCCTTGCCGTTCATAGCACTGGTCCTGCGCCAGGTCCATCCACTGATTGGCGACTCGGCGTCAGCGGGCTTGGCAAGGCAAGTTTGCCATGTGCCCTTTGAGTGAGTATCAGAGTAGGAACAGAAGGTCGGACAAGTGGAGTGTGATTGATTGCAACTCTGGCATTCAGCACCGACATCTTAAACAAAGTGCTTCGAAGCAATGTCGATCGATCGCTAAATCTGAAGCTGATCAGATGGCATCTGACATGCATGTACTGACTGTGGCATGGTTCCTGCTGCTCTGGGCTGAGTCGAAAACCTTGGTGCAGAAAAGAATTTCAGTACACCACCCGACTTCCGCCTTGATTGAGTATAGTCGACCTTGTGCAGTCGACCTTGATCTAGGCTACTAGGATGCACAGTCGACCATATTGGGGAGACACACATAGTCCACATTGTGTACAAAAGAGTCGGTCGGTTGAGGAAGCTTCGCAACCGCGAGTGTAGTGGTAGTAGTAGTAGTAGTAGTAGTCGTCGTCGTCGTAGTAGTCGTAGTAGTCGCCATGGCTTCAAGAGAGCGGCCGCCCTCTCCAGTCGACCGCCCTTCGGACTGCGTGGAAATCCCACACCGACTAGAACTTCATCAAGATGATGATGTGGCCATTCTCGTCAACCACATCAGTGGCGAGCGAGTCGTGCTGGAGACCAGGACGGACGATAACAAGGTCCACTACAGTCCTGACCAGCGGCACGGCTTCGTGGTGATGAATGGCAAGTCGGTCTGGGCGAGTCGATGCTTGGTTTCATGCAGTAAGAGTTTGAGAAGGGGAGAAGGGGCGGTAGAGAGTGTTTACGTATAAAAGAAGCGGAAGCAAACTCGAAAGATAAGAAGCTCAGCTGTTTCCCGAGGACTCTTCAAGTGGCACGCTTTCGAGTGTCGTCGCAGTCGAGAGCCGTTCCTCGTGCACCGCTTGAGCCAATCGGCGGGCCTGGTTCTTCAGTGGCTAGACGAGGGCATTGGGCGAACGTGGAGGAAGTTGACTTTGCCGGAGCAAGTCGAACCGGTCGTTACACTGGAGTTCGATCGCCCGTACCGCAGCAGCGGTTGCTGCATTTTCTGGTCTTTGCAAAGTCTGTTGAAGAGCTTCTTGCCCCCACAAACGGTGACTCAGTCCAAGATTAGCACTTGGATGCGAAAGTCGTGGCGGAAGGTGTTACAAAGCCATCTTGGCCGAGGAGTCGTTATGGATGACCACATCCTCACGACAGATCGCCAAGCGGCCGCTTCTTCTTCAGTCGGCCAAGCAGATGCAGTCGTGCTCGACTCAGATGATGTCGCAGTCGATCCGGCTGATGCAGTGGTCGCAGACCACCCCCCAGCTGCTGCCGCCCTCGCGGAACGGGACGCCTTACTATTACAAGTAGACATCACTATGCTGTCCACAGTCGCTGCTTTGCAACTGTTGTTGCACATGTGCAACAAGCCTCCTCAGGAATGCTCGGAAGAGACTGTTCGGCAATTCAGTCGCAGTCTTATGGCCTTTTTTCATGTGGGCCAAAAGTCGACACGTTCAGTCGACCACTCCGAATACCTCAGCTTGGTGTTCGAGAAGGAGTACAATCCGAGCATGGGCAGGAGCTGCGGGGAACCGCTGTTCAACGTTTCGGGCAACCTCGCGTTTGACAGAGTGGACAAATCCTGCAACTGGAAGCAGCTCTCCCGCCAAGAGAAGAAGAGCGTCAGTTTGCACAACAACGCGGACATACTGGCCTTGCTTTGGAGCACTCAGCGAAAAAGCAACTGCCAGTGGATCTGTGATCAACTGTGCTTCCAAGTCGCTCAAGTCGTGGAAGCTGGAAGGTTCTTGGTTTTCCACAAGTCGTTCGTCGTCCTGACTCAGAGCGAGAGTGGCAGCACGATCAAGCCGCGAAGGTCTCTCAGTGATCCCGCTGTTCTGGCACACCGCGCACGTCAAGGCTTGAAAGAGTCGGGCAAGAAGAGCAAGAAGAAAAGAAAAAAGGGCGAGGCCAAGTCGAACCCGCGGGCGATGGACGACAAGAAGGACCTGGTGAGGTACTTCTACGGCTGCCGGAGGGCGATGGCAGACACCAAGGTCTTGGCCATCGCTGATGACGAGTCGCGTGTGGGCGGGAAGGAGCGGCTCATGCTCTGTGCGATGAACGAGCAGGGAGTCGCCTGCTGGGCACCGCCACAGGCCGGACTGGGCATTCCATTCCATGCGGCGTTCAGTATAATTCCAAGCCAATCGCTGAATAGAGCCTAATCAATATTCAGCCGACAGACGGAGTAAGTAGCAGGGTTCAGGAAGATTGATTTCGAGGCCCCAAAACAAACAAGAAAGCCACGAGCTTTTGTGATTACATGAATGAAGGCCTGTCTGTCTGTCTATGAACAACTTGCAAGAATTCCGGCAGCTACATATTAGACTACAGAAAAGGTTTGCTTTTTCCAGCAAGGGCCAGGGCAGTTCTGGTCCCCACAAACGAAGAAGGATGTATGTACTTGTTAGCAATCCGTCATAGTGCCATTGTTTGTGTCCACGGGCCAGGGTTCTACATGATGGCGTACTAACCGCAAGTATCAATATTTGGACTGTCGGTTGTGTGTTGCGACAGCAACATACAGGAAAAATCTCAAGCAAAGCGAAGGCAAAGAGTCCATGAGACTTGCAAAAACTAGCAGAAAGGAACTAAGTAGGGAATAAGAACTCTTAAACGTGCGGGGTGTGTAAATTTAAGCGTGCAGGAAGTCAGGGACATGAAGATCCGCTTGGCGCAACCTGGGGAGCCAGTCGAACAAGTCGACAAAGATATCTGGAAGGAGCGAGCTCGTCAATTCCTGAAGCGAGAGGCTGGCCGACAGCACGAACTGGAGCAGGACACCGCAGTCGTCCGCAAGCGGCTCCGCCCTCCGGCCCGGTTGCCTTCCTTCGACCTCTTGCTCGCGAAGAACAATGCTTTGGCCTGCGTGACCGGCAATGGCCTGGATGCATATGTTCCGAAGGATACAGAGCCTCGGCGAAATCTCAACAGGATTTCGATTATCCTTATTATTATTATCGCAGAAACCGCAAGAAACGGAACCTCCCAAAGTAGAGCCAGCCCAAGGCGGCTAGGGTTAATTATTATTAGAAAAAGAAGACTAGCTAGACTGGCAATAGTGCATGCAGCCAATGAGGACAAGAACGTGCCGCTTTGGGAACGACACACACTAGTCGAGTGCAGCGATCAAGGGCCAATTCCTGTCTCGACGGACTCTTTCGAGCTTCATCATCTTCGTTTGAGGAAGTGGCGGCTAGATCTGCTCTCTGGCAACCGTTTTTCTTCATGCAGCCTCACCCAAGACCGCCCCAAAGCTATGTTACAGTACTAGTCAATAGTCGATGCAGGTCGTTAGAAGATCCGCTTCACTCGATGTGGAAGTCGCTATTGGGGGGCATTCGAGAGTCGCAACTCTACAGCGCAGTCAGCCTCACCACGATTTGGCTCAATCTCCACGAGGGGCCGTGGAGCAGTCAGCTTCTCGGTCCGTATTTCAGACTGTCTTTCGTTAAAATAAGCCAGTCTCATGATGAGCTAGGCGAATTACGGTCTCACAGTTCAGGGATATGTCACACTATTGCGGGCGGTTGACTTCAATTCTGAATTCTTATCCGTCTTATAAGACTTAGCAGACTTAGCACAAACATATCTGAATCTATGGCATTCATTGACCCAAGTAACTAGCCTCGAGTCACCCGGTAGTGACAGAAAACTGACAATCTTGTAAAGTGAGAGAGCCTAAATAAAGTAGTACGATAGAGAGCGGAGGGCAGTGGCAGTCTGCAATCGTAAGGAAGTGGTGGTCGGAAGTGACAGAAGCTTGGACTGAGTTCGTCGCAACGGCGGATAAAGGCGATCCGCTCATTGCTGCGACAGTCCGTCGCATGAGTCGCTTTGGCGCTGGAGTCGCAGTCGACCAGTTCATTCAGGACATGCGGGATGGCAGCAGCAACTTTCTGCATCGCAGGGGCGAGTCGGTCCAGCCGAGCCGCTGGTTCACTTGGCAAGATGCGATCATGAAGCGGCTTGCCAATCCTGCTGATCTGCATCTCCAGTACCTCGTGATGTTGTTCCATGGCATATCCATGGGATACTTGGCTCCGTCCTGCAAGTTTTTGTTTAATCAGCAGGCATGAGGAAGCCGAAAATAAGTTAGTCACTTTTAAGGTCCAGGAAGGCTTCAGAACTGAGCTCAGGATACCTGAACGACGAGGTTGTGCTGGGAAGCCTGACCAAAGTCGCCGCCCAAGAAAGTGGAGCTTCAGATGGCCAGCTGCGACAAGAGCGGCAAAAGAGAGCAAGCCTGCAGTCGAAGTGCAAGAATACGATGCACGCCGTGACTGCTTCTCGGAGAAATTTACTTATTGGTAGTTAGTTGTCCTCTCACAGCTGGGCATTGGCATGTGCGTGGCTGGCTGGCAATATAACTTAACTGGGCTATCTATTTATCAAATAATCATCCTGAACGACTCGTGCCGGCCGTAGTGTTACAGTCTCTGCTATCTGTATACCTTCCAGAAACTCAGACGATTGAATCTGTTGCTATGTGTCATCTGTACTTTAATATGATGCTGTGACCGAAGGACTTCTGGTCCCAGCTCTCCGGATGGTAAAAATCATTTAATTCAGATACTTCTTCCACCCAATGCAAAAAAAAACAAGCAGGATTGGCAACCGAGTGGAAACTGTATAGTCGTGTATATAAATCAATGAGTTTCGTATCTGCTTCAGGCTTCGGTGGGGTTTTCAGTCGGCATCGGCCAGGGGTATCGATCGGTCTACTTCTGCTTGATGGCTTTAACCTGCAGTAGTCAGGGGCTTTGCACTGCCCCCAGTCTTTCGTCTGATGCGTTTACCGTTTAACAGCTTCATGTCAGTTTTAGCCGCAATAAGAGCCCTGAGACTCTCAAACTTGTCGTCCGTGGTCCGACGAGGGCCTCTGTTATCGGGCTCCAATCCAAGCTCCGGAACAAAGGCGGTTGTCGATGTCTTCCGTAAGGGTGGACTTGGACGAAACTAATTCAAAATCTAGCTAGATACCTAGAAGGAGTCCATGCGTCATGTGTAGTAGTAGTAGTAGTAGTAGTAGTAGTAGTAGCAGTAGCAGTAGTAGTAGTAGTAGTAGTAAAACTATTATTATTACTCATTGTCGTAGTAGTAGCAGTAGTAGTAGTAGTAGTAGTAGCAATAGTAGTAGTCGTAAAAGTAGTAGCAGTAGTAGTAGTAGTAGTAGTAGTAGAAGTAGTACTACTAGTAGTAGTCGTAGTAGCAGTAGTAGTAGTAGTAGTAGTAGTAGTAGTAGCAGGCAGCAGTAGTAATACTACTACTACTAGTCCTAGTAGTAGCAGTAGTAGCAGTAGTAGCACTAGTTAGTAGTAGTAGTAGTAGTAGTAGTTGTTGTTGTAGTTGTACTAGTACTAGTACTAGTACTAGTACTAGTAGTAGTAGTAGTAGTAGTAGTACTAGTAGTAGCACTAGTAGTAGTAGAAGTAGAAGTAGTAGTAGTAGTAGTAGTAGTAGTAGTAGTAGTAGTACTAGTACTAGTACTGGTGGTAGTAGTAGTAGTAGTAGTAGTAGTAGTAATAGAAGTAGTAATAGTAGTAGTAGTAGTAGTAGTAGTAGTAGTAGTGGTAGTAGTGGTGGTAGTGGTAGTGGCAATAGTAGTAGTAGTAGTAGTCGTAGTCGTAGTACTAGTAGTACTGGTCGTGGTCGTACTACTAGCAGTCGGAGCAGTAGTACTTCTCTTCTTCTTGGTCTTTTGCTTCTTCTTCTTCGTAGTAGTTGAACTAGTAGTAGTACTAGTAGTAGT